ACACTGCTAAATGAATTTAACTGTGTTTATAGGATGAAGTCAGACTCTTTCCCTGGTCTCCCCAATCCCCAGATATAAAGAATGTGAACACCTTTTCCTTTTGCAGAATGGTCTAATATCCCACTCAGAACTTAACAGCATTCCAAGAACAATTGAGCTCTGGAAAAAAAGGGTTGACCTACTCCTTATTAAGCCCTTCGTATTAGTATATTGTTAAGTGTTTCTACTAGAACCTAAAAGTCTAAAATGTATTAAATATGATTATTTAAGCACATCCTGTTTTGGATATACAATATGTTTTTGATCTTATTTGACATTGTAACACTGTATAATAGAATTATATTAATGTAATGCCATTTCTAGGGGTGGCACAGTTGTTCTGTGAGAAGAATAGGTCTTCACACATCCAGAGATATGGGGTTTTGTTGCACCTCAGCTCTGGTCAGTGTATGGCCTCTTTTTCCCTCTACATGCCTCTCAGTTGTTGAAAGAAATGCTGGCTCTGTCTTTAAAAAATTGCCCTCAGTGTACAATTTTGTGTGAAATCCTTGTTATGCACTGGAATGTCTTCCAGGGCAGTGTTTCCCAACCTAATCCTATGGGCCCCCGAGACAGCCCACATTTTTGCTCCCTCCCAGCTCTGTATCAGACAGTCCATATTTTGCTGCCTTCTGGGAGCTGGGAGGGATCAAAAATGTGCACTGTCTGGGGGTACCTAAGACCTGGATTGGACAATCTTTGTTTTAGGGCTTACTCTGCCTTTTTTCTGGGATAAGCTTGAGGATCACCAATAACTTGAAATGGTCTCTGAAGTGTTTTAAGAAACATGCAGTTCAGTTGCTTATTGGCTATGTTTAGCTGCTGATGTAATAAATACTAGATAGCATATAAATACTGACACTGCGCCAAGCCTCAATATGATCTACAGTAATATGATCACAAGAGTCATTGCACTTTAAAAAATTTATCCTATTTTCTTATAGCTTTTTATCCTTAATTTTATATATTTTTTTATATATTTCTGGGTTTTTTATGTTGTTAATTTACTTTTTTGTTAATATGTATTTCGTTGTATTTATATTTGGTTATCCTTCTACCCTGTATTATTGCACAGTCTGGAGTAGCACAATTTTATTTCACTGCTGGTGTACCACTACATTCATGCATGTGACAAATAAAAATCTTGAATCTTGAGTCAGTGAATCTTTCCATCTAGGAATAGCTTTGTATCACTTCTGTGAGATGGGGAAACAGCACTGCTATTGGCTGAATCAATTTAGCCAGAAGGTGGCTTGGTGCCGCTTGTCCATCATTGGCTGCAGGTGATCAAGCAACATCGCTTGGCCTATCTGTGCTGCGGGGAATTTGGTGCGCACAGTAGTCAAATTGTAACTGTCGTGATGGTACGTGATGGTAAATAAAATCATATTTTATTTTTCCAATTAAGAAGGGTTCGGTGAACGCGCATATGAAACTGGTGGGGTCAGTACCTCCAACAAGGTTAAGAACCACTGTGCTAGGCTCTGTTAGATCTGGCATTGCAAGTGGCTCACCTGGAGTTCTTTAACAACCTGCTTAAGTGGGTCTGAAATCTTTTTTCAATCCATTGCAGAAATTCAACGAGTAAATTTAAAGTGACAATAATTAACCACTATATGACAGAGGGTGAATGTATATTTTTGCGTATTTTGTTAACTGTCTTTTCATATTTTCTTTTGAAAACTGTTAGATACCAGTTAAACACAGAGAATCCCATTGAACTTGCAGTTGAGTCTTCGTCGCAAATAGACCACATAGGGCTCGCTCCCAAAATTTTTCCTCGCTTCGTCCCTCTGTACGTGCGCGCTCCCGTGGCCGACCCGGAATGGTGATGCTGCCGACGAGGAAGATGGCGTCCGTGTGGATACTAATGAGCGCTTGCTAGCACTGAGAAAGTGATTGTAGGTGAAATACGGCAAGATGGGTAAATGTTATTAAATGCGGACATAACAGTTTGAGGCCAGGGGAAAATTACGGGAAAGTGGGTGGTTCGCGTAATAGCAGATCTTTATACCCGCCCTATCTCATTTCCTAGACATATAGTGAGATCTAGCTAGCAACTTAGCTTTCCTATCTTGTCTAAATTGCCCAGCCGCTTCAATTGCTGGGATTCAGGGTGGTGCCGGGGCCAGAGAACCAACATATACGAAGTTCCTTGGTTCGGTGCCAAAGGTGGACGCCGTTGGCAAGTTGCGGGAGGCCGGGAGAGCAGAGAAGAGCTCTGGGAGATAGGCGAGGTGAGAGGGAGAGAGATGCAATTTCAGCTGGGATGAGGAGGGACTCGTAGCTGGGTACCGCTCTAGATGGCTTCCCAGTGCTAACTAGAAATTTTATTTCACTGACTGACTTGTATTTTGCACGTATCGGTGGATCCTCTGGGTCTCACGAGGTTTTACGTTTTGTGCTGATTTTCCTTGGATAACTGCCGCTGTAAGATATGTGATGGTCACATTGGTAACTTGCTTTGGTAGCCTGACTGGAGAAATTAGCTCGCGTAGCTAACAGTTAGCGCTACACCCATGGCCGTTCGGCTCTGGTCCGTTACACTGGCTGTAGTACAGGCGTTGTTCTCCAAACGCCTTTAGCCCTTGTTAGCCTTGCCTGGCTTACAGGACCTATATTAGGCAGCCTAATGTACGGTTAAAACTTGTTGCCAGGTAGCTACATAACTAGCTGGCTGGCTAACTACCCATTGTTCTCTGTCTCAACGTTTGCAATCGGTCACACTATTTCACGTTTTTTTCGTGTTTTGCTGCTTGTATTTTTTTTTTCTAAAAACACAGTTAAGAAAATATATGGAACGTTATAACTTTAATTACCACAGAAACAAGACAGTTGTTACGGAGTGTTCCTTAACCTAGCTGTTCTGCAGCTAAGTCATGTACCTTAATATTTATACTGTAGTAACGATAATTAAAAAAAAAACACTACGTCTTCCACGAATTAAATTGTGCTACGTAGATTAACATACACGAATTGCTTAATCTTGAAGGGTATTTTTTATAATATGTATTCCAAGAAATGGGCGTTGGGTGACACTGCCATTAGAACGAAAACAATCTTTGAAAGAAAAACAAAACGGCCGTGGGACATGTTAGTAAAATCGTGTAATGTATTATCATTATGTATTGAAGGAGAGCTAAGGGATATAGCTGTAAAAACACAGGAAAGCAAAGCTTAATCATACCTTGTTAAAAGTTTAGTTACCTTTGACCACAAAATTTGTGTTGGGGCTCTAAGTACAACCCAAATTTAATGTTTGTTCCTAGTGTCATATTTCTGCACATAAATTTCATATTGATTTCTTATGTTAAAAATAGTAGCTGTCAAGCGTTATGTGATACCATGTTCTGTTTCTTTTTCTTCTTCAATGTTCCCCATATGGAGAGTAATTCTTGTGTATTCTTGATAGCTGCCCTATTCATCCACTGTCCTGCATCTTTTTCAGTGCCTGTTACAGTGCAAAGCATTATTTAGGCTAATCAGTACGATTTACTTTCTGTTTTTCCTTTAATGGTGTTCACCAACTGAGCGATCATGTGGGGGCCCCATTAAGCACTTGTGTACTGGTGCAAACCCCTTTCCCAGTTAAAGTTGTAGAAGGCTGTTTTCTGTGTTCATTTAAAAAGAAATCTTTTCTGTATACTTTCCACTTTCTTGCTTCTCACACAGCCAGCATGTCCCGTGTTTCGGACAGTGAAGATGAAGGCTTGGTTGCTATGGACACAGAGGAAGTTGGGGTAGGATTAGGGTGGGTCACTGCAGAGAAGAGAGAGACGAAGCCCAATATCAGAAAAAAGGAGGGAGTATGTGAGAGGACGATGGGACAGCTGCCAGAAGAGGTGCTGGAGTATATCCTGTCCTTCCTCTCTCCATATCAGGAGCACAAGACTGCTGCTCTTGTGTGTAAACAGTGGTATCGCCTGATTAAAGGTACATCTGCTCAGATGCAGGTTAGCCCTGCCATGGTTAGCTACCTAAGCTAATGTTTTATTCAGCACCTATCTCTGGAGATCTCATGTGAAATGTCATTAGCACTGTTCAAGTGTTATGGAAGTGTGGTGTATACCACATAAAGCACAATTA